GATGAAGAAGCGCCGCGAGGAATCGCTGGCCAACCCTCAACCTGAAAACAACCCTCAATGGGAAGAGATGGAAGAAGTGTTGGTCTCCATGGACGTGGACGGTTGGGAAATCTATGTGAAGGAGACCCGACCCAAAGGGCAACGGCTTCCCAATGAAGTTGACCCTGCACGTGCACAAGTCGCACAGGCTCCTACGGTGCAGGATGATGCCACTGTGGCCTCATCAAACTGGCAGCTTTTGGAGTCCGTGGATGCTGCACTGCCGGGGGAACCCGAGCACTTTGAACCGCATGAGGTCAAAGAGCCGGAAATGGATGGTGAGCTCATCGACGCCATCCTCAAGCCCTTCTTGGATCGGTTGCCGGGTGTTTCCGACGAGCGCGACATTGACGAGCCGGATGCTGACGAGGAGATTGTCTTCAGAGAACCCATCGTCGGCGGCTCAGCATCAATGTTTAGCCAGCGGAAGCTGCGCTCCCATCTGATGAATAAGATCCATGCTGTGGACTTCAGATTGGATGGTTCTGGCGTAGTGAACATCTTGGACACCGACGTCACACGTGACCCTGCCAAGCTCGAACTTCGGCAGGAATCCATGCAGCAGACCGAGGATGGTGCAGTCATCATTCGTCGCTTTGACTTGACGGATGAGGAGAAGCATCGTCAGATGGAACGGGAGATCTTTGAGGAGCCCAAGACCGCCGAGGAGAAACTTCGCGCGGGTGACCCTGCTGCCACTGTTCAGATCATGTCAAAGGCCAAGTCGAAGGCGGCTTCCTCATCCGAAGCGGCATCATCTTCGAGCGGCATCGCACAGGTGATCGGGGACACTGTCAGCCAATTCATCAAACCAAAGATGAGGGATCAGGCCACCATGATTCAGCCGAAGCCTGTCCCAAAGATCCCAAAGATCTCAACGGCGACGGGAACGTCTCCAATGGCGTCCCCAAAGCCCAGTCCGCCACCGACTCCGAAGAGTGCAATTGGATCCCCCAAGCCGGAGCCACCTGCACTCCCAGCGGAAGCTGCGGACCATCCTATGCCCAAAGCTTTGCCCTTTAAGGCACCGCCTGCAACGTTGACAACAACCTCACCGAGGGCACCTCCGCAGAAGTCATCGGCGCCTGCAGCTACGTCGTCGTCGGAGCCTGCCCCGAAGATGGCCAAGAAGGAGCCGCCTATGGCAAGTGCTCCTCCCCCGGGAACGGGTGGACCTCAGCCTCCGGCTGAACCGCCCTTGCGACCACAGGGATATCCCAAGTGGTACTTTTTCTCCCCGGGAACGGGCGAGCGCAGGGAATTCACCGTTCGGTGTACAGACCTGCCAGGCCTGAGGGACCTTGGAAGACTCAGTCATGATGATTTTAAATTTTCCAAGAGGGTGACCGGGCTGCTCCGTGGATATGATCACAAATTTCTCGAGGCGCACCATCGCCATATTCCTCCTGAATTTGATGAGGAGCTGTACTTGAACTTTGAGTCCATGTACACGTACCTCCGAAAGCGGCATCGTGCTCAGCTTTCGCGACAGGACCTGTACCTGATTCTTCGAACTCAGGACAGGTTCATGTGCCGCATTCAGGCTGGAATTGTCGGGGAACTGACAACCATGGACATGCCGTACCGCATCACCCACGTGAAAGCCTGCCAAGGCCATGACCAGTCGCTCATTGACAAGGTGGGAACGGCTCCATTGGTCAAGCAAATCATCTCGCTTGACTACCAGTTCACGGTCGAGGACTTGAAGAAGGGATTCTACCCCAGGGTCCCCATTTATCCTCACCTGGCGGAAGCCGAGGTCTCAGAAGAGTTCAAGGTTATTTACCATTACACTTCATGGGACTCCCTCCAGCAGATCATTTGCACGGGGATTTTTCCAGGGGCCACTTCATGCAAGGGTCATGTGTATATGACCCGCCATGCGCCTTGGGAAATCGAAGGCAAGGATCCTGGCGTCAGGACGAACAGACCGCTGTGCATCGCGATCGACACCGATTGTGCTCTGCACTATGGTCTTCGCCTGGTGGAAACCTTGGCCGGTGCACTCATCACTGAGGACTGGGTGCCCAATCATTGCCTCATCTACGCATTCGATTGCGAGAAGTCGCAATACCTTTGGGCGAACCATGGCTACAACGGGGTGAAGAAGTACCTTCGGCAGAAGGCCTCCGAGAACGCTCTCACTTGGCAAGAGAACGAGGCTCGGAAGGGCACTCCCAACTACGACGAACTTGAAAGGTACGAGATTTCGGACCTGGAGGTGTTGAAGAACATGTTCGTGAATGAGTACGATCAGTGGAAGGATGTCATCACTCTGCGACGTCCGCTCATTTACAAGGAAGTTCCGACACCATATCCTGTCGTCGATGAGTTGCTCCCGAAGATCAAGCAAAGGCCGCTCAACTTCACCAATCTCCTCTGTGTGGCACGCAAGCCGACGGCAACTGCTGCTGGCTTCGACATCGCCCCTGACAACGCGCGGGAACGCCGTTCTGATCGCTTCGATCAGGAGGCATTTGACCCATCCGCGGAGGGGAACCTCACGCGCTGGCGGTATGTTTCAATGCTGGCAATGCCGGAATTGACATGCCCCCGGTGCAGGAAGATCTTTCCTGAGGGGATGTTGGTGTGCCTTGCATGCGGCTTGTCGCTGGCGACAATGTCCGACATGCGTCGTGCGTGTCAGGTGTTCCGCCTGGAAGAGTTGGCCGAGAAGCTGGGCTTCGAGCTGACGTTGGATCTTCTGGGCGATGACGATGTAGCAGGCACCACCCAAGGTGCCAAGCAGATCAGATCTGCTGCTGCAGTCCTCAAAAATCACGCCCGCTCATACATGAAGCAGGCGAGAAAAGCAGGACTGACTTTGCTACAGCGTCTGGGAACGGACGCCCACTACGCCTTTAATTGTGCGGTCCAAGACCTTACACCTCGGTGTATGCATTGGATTACCGTTTTGGGCAATGTGGTGCTTCCCTCCATCAAGCGCACGCGAGAGGAGATCCGAACTGGAAAGATTCGGCAGTATAAAGCGCGTATGTGCATGGTCGCATACGAAGAGGAGCAGATGAAGACGATCATCGTGGATGATCATGTACTCATCTGGTACAAGAACCGCTTTTACAGAGCCAACCAGTTCGCGGCCGCCTACGCCTTGATCCCGGTGGCCGAGCGCTTTGAAGTTTTGAGCGTCGCCAACACGACGTTCCAATCCCTTGCGTTGTCCAAGCAGGATGTGTATGCCGACATTCTCAGCTATGTCGACGACATCTTGCGCCCCCTCACGGAGGCAAAGGACACGGAAGGCGGAAGCCGACCCCTACCTGCAACGAGGCAGCAGAACCCAGATGTCACCAGGTCCTCGCGTCCTGGCTATGGTTCTCATCAGGGGCCCACTCATGGCTACAGTCAGCAGGAATGGAACGACTACTACAATCAGTGGACTGACCAGGAGTGGGAAGATTGGCGCCGTCGAAATCAAGGCCACCAATACAGGGATCGACGTTGGTCGGGCTATCGCTGAGGCACCGCGGAGGGGAACCTCTCGCCTGGTGGATTTATCTTCATCTGAGGCGGGGTAGTTTCCTTTCAATGAGAGGTGTCGCACAGCGGAAGCTGTTGCCTTTTCGGATTTAATTCGGTTAGGCGACTAGCTTCATTTTTGCACAGGTGGGTGAGCGATTCCACCATCATTTCCAACACAAGTGTGCTAAGTCGGAATTTTTGCCAATCTAGTCAAGTTCACAAAAGTTTCATTAACGCTTTGAATGCATATAATTTGAAGCAGGCATTTGGCACTCATCTTATTCTTGCCATGATTCTTTCTTGCATAGCACACGGCTGGTAGTTGCATGAACCGCAGAGCGGAAGCTCTTGCCTTGCGAAGTTAAGGCATCTTTGAAGCGTTTCTGAAAGCTTCCCTGCGGGTTCACATCAAACTTGAATTCAGCTTTTGCCATAATTCAAATCGCTTTGCTTTGGCAAGCTCCTGGGCGACCACAAGAACTTTTGTTGCCGCGTGGAAACGCTGGCCTAGTATTGGGCCAAGACCTTTTCTTTCCACCTTGCATGTTCGACCACAAGCCCAGTCGAGCCTAAAAATAAAGCTGAATGCATCCGACCGAATTGACATGCACTGCATCCGTCTTTCACACAACTTGATGTTAGATTGAATGGATTGCAATCGCTGTTGCACATGTTTGTCATTACTGCATACCTGAGGTGAAAGCACAAAGGGGCGATGGAAGGTTAGGCCGCGGACGGGTTTGGTTGTTGTTGTGTTTTCTAAATTGTTCTTACATAATGGCATCCCTTACTAGTCTGTACATAGCCTAATTTGCAGCTTCATCTCCTGTGCGGTAATTCCACTGCACGGGGGGTGTTGTTGCACAGTCCTAGTGTAGGTATACCCCTTTTCACCTCTACCTTGTGTATGCTTTGGCTCAAGAAATAGTGCGGTGCAGACTAGCTGTGTTTTGTGGTTGTTACCGGCTTTTACCTAGTTTCTACAATATTCTATAGCTATGTTAAATTACCAGAGGGTATGTTGGAAAACCTCTGAAAACCTTCTTCCATACGCTTGAAAAAATCATCATTATCCCTCTAAAACGGTCACAACTTTATGGGGATGTCGTCCATTTTCAGACCGACCCAGATGTAATTCGAAATATTTGGATCAAATCAGAACCTATTATACATATTTATACATTACTATACCATACTTTGTGAAGCAATGAACATCCACGTGGCACCATCCCCATTCATGTTAAGTTGGTTATATATATATATATCCTATCAATATTTTGTCAATATCTCATTAATATCACGTTAACATCGCATTATTATATCAAAATATATCATACATATCTCATGAATATCCCATCAATATCCCATTAGTATATATATATATATATCTACAATATGCTATTAATATCTTAGTAATATCAACCATTTTGGTGGCCGCCAGAGTTTTGACACATGGTCATATCTTAACAAACTGGCAGGAGAAGGCCAATGCTGCTCTGCGGGTCGACAAGGGCCAGGCTCCAGCTGACAGAAGTTTTGTTGACAAGTACATTTTTGTTCATGGCTCATCAAATCTATGGTTATTCATCATTGTCATTATATTAATATTATGGTCTATAATTTAGTATCATCTTAATTTCATATGGTGGTTTCCATAAATGGGGGTACCCCCAGGCCCCAAATGGATGGTTTATAAATTTTTGTACTGGATAATCCAAATCGAAGATGGAAGATTTTGGTGGAAAAAAACAGGGATATATAATGAAAACCCATTGGAATTGGAGTATGAAACACCAAAATGTATCCCAAAAACATTGAAGATCTCGAGTGTTTCTTCTATTTTGCGGATCTGTTTGGATCTGATTTGATTTTCAAACTGGATCCCTAAAGTCTTTCGCCAGGCAGTGGCATGCCCACAATCTTTCGTCACGCATCGTCTCAGGTGGATGCGGAAAACGAGCAAAAACACACGCAGTTCAAGGAAGCGTTGCAAAAGATCGAGGCCCACAGCATCCCACAGCACGTCCTGCGAACTGCAACGACATCCAGGTTCCCAACGTTTTGTTTAGGTTCGACCTGATTTCAACCTGGTTAGAGCGCAGCTTGACTTCTTGAATCTTCTTGATACATCTGATCATCTGAGTGTGTCGTTTGTATTTGCTCCCCCATCTTCAGAGTAGAGACGTCCGTTGCCTGACAGTCCACTCTGACCACCCTGTCGGAGTTCTTGAATCAGCCTGGGGCGTTGGTGGTGCCTGGTGGGTTTGACCACTCTTGTTGGTAAGTCAGGTTGAGTCAGTTATTCATGAATGGTGAGTTAGATGGTGTAACTTAAAACATGGAATTATCATAATATATCATAATATATCATAATTATCCCATTTACTGCCTTCATTTTTCCTGGTAAAAAAGACAGAAGTGGGTAGCCTCAAATTTTCACAGCAACCCCTGGATGTTCCTTTTCTCGAGGCCAATGCCGACGATCGAAGAGGAGCAAGATGTGTCGACGCCTCGGCTCACCTCCGAGAGGTCATGGAGGGAGAGAGAAGTACAGGAAGGGGTCCTACGTTTTGAGTTGTTTTGTATACTTGTATATATTAATAAACATTGTATGTATGTATATATTATGTATATGTATAATTATGTATATATATATATATTATATCTATATGTATAATGATAGGACAATACATATGATATGCATGTCCACCGTAAATCCTGGCTAGCCTAGTTGTAAACCAACCATCAACACTTGCAGGAACTTATACCCCGAGAAAAACTAGCTCGATATACCTGCCATAAACATCCATAAACTCAGGTTATCCCCAATTATTGAAGTTATGTCTACATATGTGTCATATGTTTACCGTAACTTCGCCAACAAACTTGGGCAGCAACTTCATTTTTTTGGTGGTTAACCACATTTTTTCACCAATTTGTTGATCAAGACCACCACTTTTTACATTTTTTCATGGTGACCTCCCGAGGTGACCTCCCAACGGGCCATAAAATGACATGGACCACATGGCGCCATCGGCGCAGAGGTCCAGAATCGGAGTGGCCGAAAAGCCAAAGGAAGAGATCGTTGAAGAGGAGGAGGTCTTGATCTTCGAGGTCCCTTTGCCGGAAATCTCTGGCAAACATGGCGGGATTTTGATCCCCCAATCAATACGGAGGTTTTGAAGGGATCAACGAGGTACGTTCCATTGCTGTGTTTTATTGAGGCTACTCAGACTTCCTCGCTCTCACTAGCTTGCTATGCTAGTGAAATGGAAGGTAAATCTGGCTTCATGGGATGTTGTTGGGCGAAATGGGGTAGATGGAGTGCATTGGGATGGCAACGTGCATGTGGCAGACGTACATTCATACCCGCACGCATGTGTGTTGATAGCAAACTTGAGAGGAGCATCATCTCAACATAGCGAGTGCGGGCCACCGAAGAAAAGTATATCACCAAAAAAAATGTGGGGACATAAATGCATAGCTGCCAGATACGGATAATACAGGGGCATAACTAATATTTTGTTTACTATCTATCTATATATATATATATATACATACATCATACAACATTGTTGCATGCAATTATCATTCGATTTTCCTCTCTGCGATTGGCAAGCAGTTAACTTCTGGTGGTTTCGCACGCTCTTCTAATTTTGCCCAATTCCTCATCCTTGTCCTTGTTCGGAATGGGGCACACCTCAAATCCACTGGACAAACCCATTTCGGCCACTCATTGCTTGGATCCATATTTTTTGTTTAGTTTTCATAGATAACTAGATCCTAATTTTTTATGGTTTCAATCCCAATTGTTCCACCCAATAAAATTTGTTTTACCCGGTCAGCTTCCCCATTGTTGATGGTCAAGACATGTTAAACCAGCAAATGTCCATTATTTTTTCTACCAAATGCCAATTCCCACTTGTTGATGGTGACCCTTCCAGTGTTTCGTTATTTTTGGGGTTCCTCAATGGGTTTTCTCTCACACCACTCCGCTAACTAACCAACTATCTCCATGGTTGATAATTAGTTAAAGCATATATTACATAATCACCCCAATTTTTGTGTTGATTGTGAACACCCAAAAAAGCATCCGTTTGCTTCATCCCATTTCGATCCAATGACAGGACTCGGAGCAGCAGAAGTTCTACGAAGATCTGGTGGATCTCAAGGCCAAAGTTCAGCACAGATGAACCGCTGCTGAGGAAATGGTCGACTAGTTTTGATTCTTCACCTTGATAAGTTTGGTGGATCTGAGGATCTGAGATTAGTCTGCCATGGTGTTTTATAGCTTTGATCCAGTGGTCCACGTGGCCAAATGTGTCCAGAAAGCTCCAACACAAGATGAAGCCCTGGGTCCCGTGGGACCCACCATGTTCCTGTTGGAAAAGCCATCTCCAGATATCTCCAGATATCTGCAATTGAGATGTAGCTCATTGCTTGAATCTATATTCTTGATAGTTACATTGTGTTACATCTATATCATCTCAATTGTTGATTGAAAAGCACCACCATTTTGATGGTAACTCCCGATAATCTGAGCAGTTCAGGACATCATTCCTGCCGTTCTCCTCACTTCTGGCAAGAGCACTGTAGATGCAAATGCTGATCCGGAGCGCCCAGGGGCCGAAGGGGCCGAAGGGGCCGAAGGGGCCGAAGGGGCCGAAGGGGCCGAAGGGGCCGAAGGGGCCGAAATGACGCTGAAGGGCTGAAAAATCCTTTATCCATTAATGGAGTGGGATACACAATACTGGTTGGTGGTTTCAAACATTTTGATTTTTCCATTTCATATATGGGATGTCATCCGAAACCCATTGACTTTCATATTTTTCAAGATGGTTATTGCACCACCAAGCAGCAATCAGAAACAATGTCTGAGTATCAACCTAGGGGCTCTGAGTATTAGGGGATTCGAGCAGCCCCGACCGCCTCGAGTATTAGATGGTTAATTAATAATGATTTGACAATGGTTTGTCATAGTGGGTTCTGTATGATCCTTCGTGATCCTTTATTAATTATTGTATATTATTGTGTTATTTTTTTGTTGTGCCCTTTCAATTTGTGGTGTTCATATGGGCCCCTAGAGATTCTGGCAACGGGCACGTCCTCTTCTGGAGGGGCTCCATTAAGCCATGATGCACAGTTCTTAACACGAGAAAACAATCCCCCCAAAAGAATTAGGAAGTCGTGGAGAATTGATCAGAAACCATGGAAAACTGGAATTTCATGGAAAAAGGGATTTCGTGAGAAGGCCTCATGAAGCAGCATCAACCATCATGCGTCCAGGAGGCAAAGCCTGAACGCCCACCAGAGGAAAAAGAGAAGCCAAAGGATGCTGCAGCTTCAGAGACTCGGCTCTGGGACGTGGTGAAGGATGGTGAGGGTCTATAGCAGTGATGAGAGCCCTGAACATATGTGGGAAACCCACGGCTAACATAGAAGAAACCCAAGTTTTGTTGAAGGCTTACGCTGCCAACACCATGTTTAAAACTTGAAACTTCAACGAATTTCAATGATCACCTTCAATATGTTCACGGCTTACGCCAACCCCGCATCTTAAGATTCGGTTTTACCATATTCTCAAGCGCGCCACCCAGCTAAGGACTTTGATTTGTACCTCATGCGCGTCTCCAAAGCTGAATCAGCCAAGCAGGTGGCCGCCGGAAAAAACATGCTATAGGAAGGAGCCCTCTTCTCCACAGAGAAAGTGATGTTTTTGGGAAGATGATGCGCTTACCATCTATCCTGTCCCACAACACTATGATGCAACCAATTTTTGAAAATCTGAATGGCCATCTTCGTGAATTTTCCCCACACAATCAAAGGTAGCAAGTTTTCCATGCCACTGAAATCAATGGTCATAACCGTATGTAACAGTTTATGGTCATAGATTATATAGTTATAGTTATAGTCCTAGATTAGTTTATAAACCATAGTAAGTATACCTTCTGGTTATTTAACATAGCCATGGTATAGATGGCCCATAGAAATAGTTGGTTTACCGTTCGTAAAAATGGTGGATCTTTCCATGGCTATGTTAAATAACCAGATGGTATATGATATATGCAAAGTATATGGAGGTTTCCTATGGACCCATCCCCAAATCCAAATCATCCAGCCACACCACACCAGGTGGATGATATTGTGGTGGAGCTCGGACGCCGAGACGCAGATGCGCACGACCTTTGTGTATAGGGATATTTTTGCCCTATCTCTGATATATGGTGGGACTTTTTTCTGACATATAGTTGTTTAATGTTAATTGTTTATAATACATCTCTCTCTCTCTCTATATATAATTATATATACGTATATCCGTGTGCGTATGTGTGTGTACATGTGGCCGTTGTAGAACTTGATGGTGATATTGAATTTACCCATGAGATCCCCGGAAAAGCATCGCAGCGAAGTCGCGAAGTCAGGTTCTTCCACGATTTCAATACCAAGGGCAATCGCCAGAGACTGGCCGCCCCGGCCTCATCCGATCGCCTCTGACACGAAGGGGCAAACATCAAAAACTAACTGTAGCCAACATGATTAACCGGTGGTTTTAATGGGTTTTTGAATGGATATAACCTAGCCATCATAATTAACTAGGTTGAATACCAGCTGTTTTGCGTGAAACGAAACCAAGAAACATCACTGGGCCCTGCTGGATCCGCCTAAAATTCTGTCTGAGTTTCACCTCTATGGGGCCCATAAGATCAAGCAGCACCAGCCTCAGCTGCGCTTTTTTTGCGCTCTGCTGGGTGAAGGGACCGTCCCGGAACGAGTTGACCGGTTTCTGCATGGATCCTCTGGTTTCTGCATGTGTTACCAGGTTTCAGACGTGCCAAATATAGCCAAATATGGGGAAAATTTTCATGATCTTACCAACATTCACCTGGAAAAAGAATCAAGAAATGCCATTTGGGAGATGCATTTGAGTTGATTCGGACCAAATCCCATGTCGGACCAACCCCCTCCTGACCACCTGCGCGTTTTTGTCTAGGCTGCACTTGCTGGCACCTTATGCGCGCATAGCGGCGATGGTAGGGTGGGAATCCCAGCTTGTGGTAAAGCCAAATGAAACCTGTGACTTCGATTTTTTTGAAATCCACTGAAATCCCACTGAGTCAGAGTTGCAATCTTATCCCCCGATCATGTTATATAATGTTATATCATGTGAAAATATATGAAATAAATCCGTAATAGCCCTGTAATAGCTGTTGGCCCCAAAAAATGAAATCCAACACATTCCACCAGGCTGCCAGGCTTCGTGTCGGGGGGGACTTAAATATTGAGGGGAAGGCAGACATGGCAAACGAGGAGTTCATCAGCGGCCAGTGATTGCTGCCAATCCTTTCAGTGATCCGGTTACAATCGCAATAGATCTGCCATCTGCAGCTAGAGGTTACAATCTAATAGCAGTGGCTGCAGTAACTTATTGCTATAGCTAATAGGTTATTGCTATTGCTATTCAATACATTTTTTTTCAGACACACTTATTGCTATAGTTTAGTTTTACCATAGTTTTACCTCCAAGAGGTTGTGGCCCAAGCCTGATGCCGAGATTTGCTAAGGCCTTATGTCAAAGAAGTGGCCAACTTGCTGATGTCGTGGTTGCAGCAAGAGCTTGAGCAGGCTAAGCGGCTACGCTGAAAAAAATATCTGCGCTTCAATGCCTGGGGGCAATTCCAAATCCACTTTAAATGGTGTTTTATATAGTGGAAAAATCATTGAACTAAATGCTGGATTTTCCGGCCAGACACGTTTGATTACCTTCCGTAATTGATTTAGCATCCAGCAAAGGGCCTATGATTGGCTATTTTATTTTTGAAGGAGTTCCGCTATACCATCTGGTTATGTAACAGTTTGCCACGGAAAGATCCATTTTTAAGAACGGTAAACCATGGTAAACCATTTATTTCTATGGGCCATCTGGCCATCTATACCATGGCTATGTTAGTCAGAACCATTCAGAATCGGGATGATTAAAAAACCGTGGATCTATCCGGGAGCTAGGAGCTATGATAGCTACCCAACCTGGTAAACCAACAGTTTTAAACTGAACTTGAAAATGGCCCAGTCAAAATAGTTAAATAGTGGATTTACCCATTCGAAATGGTGGATCTTTCCATAGTTATGTAAACGTTTACCAGAGGCTATGATTGCAATCATCTTCCGGAGCAATGGGAGGCAAGCAGCTTCAATGAGATTTTCCCGTAGGGATCTTGCCGAGAAACAATCCGCCAATTGCAGGAAGGTGACCCAACGTTGCACGTTTATGAACCATCGAACTATAGAATTTATAGACATAACATACAATAACTATCATAACTATAAGATCTATAGAACCTATACCCTTTGGTTATTTAACATAGCCATGGTATAGATGGCCCATAGAAATAGACGGTTTACCTATTAAAAATGGTGGATCTTTCCATGGCCATGTTAAATAACCAGATGGTTTCCATTTCATATATGCGATAATCCTTCCCATTGACGAACTCATATGTTTCAAGATGGTTATTGCACCACCAACCAGGAACCATCAGGAACCTATAGAATTTATAGATGTATTAAATCCTAGTTACCCTCTGGTGAACGTTTACATAACTATGGAAAGATCCACCATTTTTCATGGGAAAATCCATGAAAAATGGTGATTTTCAATAGCTTTTTGTATGTTTACCAGAGGGTAGACACCGATCTTGGGAGGCCCAGGCCCAGCCCGGTTCTCCTGTTCCAATCGCCAGGTCATTGGCGACCCAAACCAAAGCCTCCTGGAACAAAAGGCGGTCATTTTTTTTGGGCACCCAGGGCACCATGGTTTCATCTTTCGTGATGAAAATGGGTGATTTCATGGGTGATTTTTTCATGATGAAGCCATAGGAAACCATAGGAAACCATCGGAAAAATGGTGATCAAACACCAACATAGATATGGCAGTATCATGGCAGTATCATAGGAATCTCGTGGAAAAATGATGAAGAACTTATCAAAAACGAATTGGTGCGTTGAAAAACGAGTTGGTGCTGTTGGGCATGTTTCGCGCCCATTGAGGATGATCAAATTTTGACTGCTATGTATGTTTCAGGAATGAAAAACATAGAAACCACTAACCGGAAAAGCACCAATCACCAAAGATTTAAGTTTAATAATTGTTCCAATCACCAATTGTTATGGTTATGAAAAGCTATGTTTCAAGTTCATTGTTCATCTGGGACTTTGATAGTTGAGTGTGAACTCCCCATTTCTATTGAACATTTGTTCATGATTTGTGGATTTTTCCATGGCCATCTCTGAGTATGAGCACGCTTCCCCTTTAAATGTAAAATTAAATCCGGAAAATAACACGTTCCAACTTATTCAGTAATTTTCCATTTTACCATGGGGAAACAACCATCCATTAACCAGCTATGACTTAGGGTACCATCTGGGCGCTACCAGGTGAAGGTGGTGAAGTACCTCTGTGAACTCTGCAAGTTCAAAATCTGCCCTCCGGGCGTCATTTTGGACATCTTTAAGGCCACAGTCGCAGTGGGATGGTCGAGTTGGGGATAGCAAGGCTGGTTGAAGTGTGATCTGAGAGAGGCTATGGATGGCTATGGATGGCTATGGATGGCTATGGGCTATAGGTGTATACGGATAAGTCACTGATAAGTCTGACATGATATCACATGATAGTACATGATATGTGTTGTTCCACGTGAGGATCAGCAAATTATCCGTGGGACCGTGGGTCCATGTCAGCGGCTGGGGTCCATTTCTTTCTCCAGACCCTCTGCGATGACTTCAACCAGCAGAATGCGGAACTCTGCGCCAACCTGTTGCAGCCCGGGTGCCCATTGGATCCATTGGCCGCTAGTGGCCGCTAGTGGGGTCAACCCACTTGGTTGCTATAAATTGGAGACTTGGTGACTCCTGCTTTAGCCGCTGGTTCCAAGGACCTGTGGGCGTTACCTGATGTACAAACCAGAGACGGCCACCCGCACAGACAACCTCTTGGAACGAATGTCTCGGGACTTAGCTGGTGGTGAACACACGTGAACACCTGAAAACTTCAGCATTTTTTTTGAATATCTTGAGAAGTTTCCCAACAAAAGTCCAGATTTTGATTCTAAAACCCAATAAACTGGCAAACCCAATACTAAGCCATGCACATCCATTCCCAGATGGTAGGTTTGCCTGCTGTAGCTGTACACCCAGGCTGCGTCTTACGAAAGCGAAGTCTTTGCCCTTGAGGTGGGGTGGTTTGACATATTTTGACATTTTTCTTTCCAGCCTGATTTGGTCAAGCACTATTTCCGAAGCTCGATAAGCACACACATGTACAATATATATATATATATATAATAATATATGTAATATAAATATAAAACAATAATATATGATATATATATATATATACATTCATAATCATTCATATGCGCGCGTGTATTCGTATGATTTAATGTACATAACCCGTCATTATGTATAATATGTAAATATTTAATTATTCATTCACTGAAGTATTTATCCATATTTATATTTGTGTAGATGCAAGTAAGCCTTTGATATACATGCATGTCTGGTTGGTGGTTTGGAACATTTTTTCTATTTTCCATTTCATATATGGCAAAAACATGAGTTCGTCAATGGGAAGGATGACATCCCATATATTATATGGGATGTCATCCTTCCCATTGACGAACTCATGTTTTTCAAGATGGTTATTGCACCACCAACCACATATATTATTCATGAGATCAGGTATTAATCACTCATAACCACTATTAATCACTATTAATCACTATTATCCATGGTTTTTTCACCAACCAGTTGGGAAGCACCACTGGTTTCCTCCGGGTTCGGAGCTCACAACATCCAGGTTGGAGATCATGCTGGAAGATGCCTTCTATCAGGTCAAGCCGTCTGAGCCTCAGCCAGAACGGCAAGAGAATTTCCCAACAAGCCCTTGTTACCGGGTTTTCCCCACCTGCCAGGTGAGGGTTGTTAGATTTTATCTAAGTTGCCTGCTCCTCCTCCTCCTCTCCTCCTCCTCTCGTCGTCCTCCTCCTCTCGTTGTCCTCCTCCTCTCGTTGTCCTCCTCGTCCTCCTGCTCAACTGCGACTCGCGATCCACAGTGTTCGCTGCCGGACCTCAACCACGACCATCCACGCCCAGTGTTCCCTGCCGGACCTCAACCACGGCCATCCACGCCCAGTGGTCCCTGCTGGACCTCAACCACGGCCATCCACGCCCAGTGTTCCCTGCCGGACCTCAACCGCGAGTATCCATGCCAAGTGTTCCCTGCCGGACCTCAACCGCGAGTATCCATGCCAAGTGTTCCCCGACATATCTTCTGACATATCTTCTGACATTCTATTTGGCATTCTATCTGGCATATCTTCTGGCATATCTTCTGGCATTCTATCTGGCAAACCTTCTGGCATTCTATCTGGCATATCTTCTGGCATTCTATCTGACATATCTTCTGGCATTCTATCTGGCATTCTATCTGGCATACCTTCTGGCATATACTCTGACATATCTTCTGGCATTCTATCTGGCATTCTATCCGGCATATCTTCTGGCATATCTCCAGATAGAATGCCAGAAGATATGTCAGATAGAATGCCAGAAGATTTGCCAGATAGAATGCCAGAAGATATGCCAGAAGATATGCCAGATAGAATGCCAAATAGAATGTCAGAAGATATGTCAGATAGAATGCCAGAAGATGTGCCAGTAAGAACATGTATAAATGTCATGGTGGGGATCACACGAAGTAAAGTAATTTTTCCCCACCTGCCAGGTGAGGGTTGTTAGATTTTATCTAAGTTGCCTTCTCCTGCCTCCTCTCCTCCTCCTCTCGTCGTCCTCCTCTCGTTGTCCTCGTCGTCCTCGTTGTCCTCCTCGTCCTCCTGCTCAACTGCGACTCGCGATCCACAGTGTTCGCTGTCGGACCTCAACCACGACCATCCACGCCCAGTGTTCCCTGCCGGACCTCAACCACGACCATCCACGCCCAGTGTTCCCTGCCGGACCTCAACCACGACCATCCACGCCCAGTGTTCCCTGCCGGACCTCAACCACGAGTATCCACGCCAAGTGTTCCCTGCCGGACCTCAACCACGACCATCCACGCCCAGTGTTCCCTGCCGGACCTCAACCGCGAGTATCCACGCCAAGTGTTCCCTGCCGGACCTCATGTAGGAAGATAAAATGTCAGATAGAGTGCCAGAAGATTTGCCAGGTAGAATGCCAGAAAATATGCCAGAAGATATGCCAGATAGATATGCCAGAAGATATTCCAGAAGATATGCCAGATAGAATGCCAGATAGAATGCCAGAAGATATGTCAGATAGAATGCCAGAAGATATGCCAGATAGAATGCCAGAAGATTTGCCAGATAGAATGCCAGAAGATATGCCAGAAGATATGCCAGATAGAATGCAAATAGAATGTCAGAAGATATGTCAGATAGAATGATATGCCAGAAGATATGCCAGATAGAATGCCAAATAGAATGTCAGAAGATATGTCAGATAGAATGCCAGAAGATGTGCCAGTAAGAACATGTATAAATGTCATGGTGGGGATCGCACGAAGTAAAGTAATTTGTGGGAACGGCTCTCTTAAAGCTCACATATATATTTCTATATATATATATATATGTATATATACATACTGTATATATATATACTGTGTATATATATATATATACGCACACACACACATATATATATATAATTTATATATAGATCTTTATTCTATTTGCATATCAACGAGGCTGCGCCACTTTTGGAGTCAGACTCCATTCAGTTTTCGGAAATCTTGAGGCCGGAGGGGAAGCGAAAGCAGAAGAAAAGCAAGGACAAGACGAGCTGAGTTCCCCCAGTTCCCCCACGAAATGGTGGTTTTCAAGCGGGGGAATTTCCAAGGGGCGGACACGCCCCTTGGGCCCCTTAGTGCCGCAGGCCAGAGCTTTGTATGTGCAAATGTCCCATGTCCGTTCCCAACCTTCCAATCACAGCTGGAAGGGAAGGGACTGACAGAAAACAATCGACCAACGAAAAGCAGGATTTATCAGGATTTCATCAGCATCAAATTCATCAAAACTTTCCAATCATCAGGGTTCTGGGTCGAGCTTTGTAAAGATACTAAAGGTACTTTAACCTTTTGCTGCCAATGGTAAACTTGCTCCTAACCAGCCATTTTTTTTTGGGCAGGTCAGATTCACCATGACCATCCAATCCGCTGCAAGGAACCCCTGGAGCTCTTTGTGGAACACTTGGTCTTTGACCGTCCGGTCGCCGAAGGAGTTGGACGGACTTGGACGGACTTGGACTGGGGATAGCGGTGTTTTTGATGAACGATGTGACGAACCTTATGTCAGTAGTAAGGACGGTCCATTATGTTCACTTTAACGTTCACTTTACGTTCACATTAAGATATGTTAAGAATTGTTAAGATATGTCTAAGATCTGTTGAAGATATTTATGTTTAGGACTGAATACATAGATATTTTATGATATTTTTGGTTGGTTCGATATTTGGGACTTGGTCCAAGTTACCATCGATCGAAACATCAACTCGAGGCTTCTGAGGGTTCTTTTCGAAGCCTCGATCCACGGAAATGCCCCACAGCGCTGTCAGGTTTGTACAAGGAGGAAGACGAGGACCATGCGCATCCATGCGGAAAAGGGGAGGGAAAGTTGTTTGATTCTAGCATCTTATGGCCATATATGGCCATATGATTTTTCGGCATCCGAATCACTGGGTTGTTCCCGTTAAATCATTGTTGAGATTGTGGAAACCGTCAACCACACCTGATTGTGGCACTGAAGGAGGGGAGGGACCGAAACTCCGAGCCAAATGACTCCGAAAATCTTCAAAGACTCACGTGGTACCCCTCAGTTATACAGCGTGCTCAAGAAACAAGAAGTTAACTTCATAGAGTTGTGGAATGCATATACTATATATATATATATATGTTGTAGATATATCCACCATAAACCATCATAAAGCCCATAAAACAGTATAGACCCTAGTGACCTTGGTAATTATTTGCCCCCAACTTCGCCAGTCGACCACTGGGACCGCCGCCTCCAAACAGGATCTCTTTTTGAAGCTGGTGCGAAAACTGCCCTGGGAGGGTTCGGTTCCCGGACGGCTGCGAAACCACAGGAAGTTCCGGGGGATCAACCGGTGTTTTTCTCATGGTCTAATATCATAGATCTGGGTAAATTATAACGACCTCACTGCGACCTCACTATAATCATAGTTAGTAAGGGGAAATATCCCCAAATGACCTTATTTCAGGTTAGTGAATTATTATAGTTTACCCAGATAGATGGTGGATCAAGGGGGTGTTTAATATTAGCCTCTGGTAAACGTTTACACAACTATATGGAAAGATACACCACTTTGATAAAGGGTAAATCCACGAACTTTCTATGGCAATTTTCAATAGTTACCTCAGTTTACCAGAGGGTAATATCATAGCTGGTGGATCTAAGGGGTGTTTAATAGGGGGATTGGATTTTAAGCACACGGAAAAACCATGGAAAACACACCACTCGCTATGGTTTCAACATGTTTCAACAGGGTCCTGATCTTGGCAGATCAAGGTCCTATGAATCTCGCCATGATGTTCTTGCGATTTCATTACATCCAGATCGATTCACCAATTTATTGAGCAATCTGCCACTTAAATGGGGTACTCCCCCAATTGATACAGCTTGGGTCGGCCATTTTTTTTTGGGGGGGGGGTACCCTCCAGTAAAGTCATCCAAGAATACATGAAAAAAGTCGAAAAGTCGCCATTTCCGTTGCAGATGGATTTATCATGGATTTTCCATAGATTTTACCATGGATTTGCCTATGAAACATCACCAGTTTCGCATAGTTTTGCCATTTTAGCCGAGGAAATCCAGGGATTTTCTCCAGTTCAGGTCCCGCATCTGGCTGGCTGAAGAAGTGCTTATTGGACAGCCCCGAGCTGCTGCCTGGATATGCCGACCCGATGGATATATAGCGCATAATTATATCATAATTATATCATAATTATATCATATATCTATGTGTTCTTTTTGGGGGGATACATGGATATAAATAAATGGATATAAATGAATATAAATGGATATAAATGGATATATAACGGATATATATATATATATATTGAAGGGATTCTGTTATGAATCTGTAGTGATCCCCCAAGAAGGTATGTAAGCAACTCTGGGAGCTCATGATGGAGACATGATGAGCCACCAAAACCATCAACGTTTTTTTCCTCTGGGGGGGTAACATGCAATCTACTTGGTGGTTCATCCCACGAATGGTAAGTGGTTTATAACCCCAGTTCTAAGTGGGACAAGTAAACTTAATCCGCTGGGGGTTGTTATATATAATTATAACTCACTTGCTAAGTGGGATGAGCCACCAATGTCCATATCATCTAATCTTACAAATATAGACTTGATGACGCGGGATGTGTATAGGACCAACAGGCAACACCTCGAGCAGCCAACCGTGCCATGCAGGACTTGAATCACCATGCCAACTACGAGAACTTGTCATGCGTCGCTTGTGCAGAGCTGCCGGAGATAGAACTGTAAGTTTATCATAATTTATCATATTTTATCATGGTTTACAACTGTACAGACTGTAAGAGCATCATAGTTTGTAGCTTATCCACTTCCATGGCTTGTGGTTTTCCTATCTCCTGTCCCGCAGCTGACCCGGCCCAGCGGCCCAGGTGGCTTCGCTCTTGAGTGGCCTGGCCAAGTACCGCGATGTCCGCAGCCGAGCTCCAGCGCCACGCTGATGTCGGTTTGGTCCGCCCCGGGTCCCTATTTTTCAAGTCTGGTATACTCCCCACCAGATTAACGTAGTGTCCCTGAAAGTGAACACTTGTCATATAGATCTCTTTTTTTTTAGTGGACATGTGGAAAGTAATCTTCCAACCCCCTGATTTGGCAGTGTCTATGTGAATTTCGGGCAGTGTAATATAGGCACCGTGCCACTGCCCGAGGGGGTGCGGTTAAGTGAGGCTTTTGTCATCGACGTCATTGACTCTTTGCTGGAAAACATTCAGGAGGGATGGAGCGGGAGCTGGAACTGGAAAGAACATCATGGGGTTTGAAGATCATTTTCATTTCAGAACTTTGAAATTGAAATAGCTATAACTGGTTTCTTTTGTCTACATATATAAAGCTACATATTATCAGATGGCCTCCGGCAATCAAACGTGGCTTGCTGGAAAATCCACCATTTGTAATTAGTTGAATTTCCCAGCTGGAAGCCTTCATTAATATCTATGGCAGATGTTCAAGCTAGCCATGTTTGATTACCAGCACGTATTTCCAACTATTTTCATATATCATATCCCATTATATATTACCCTACTGTACTATTATCCCGTATAACCCTATTCTTATCCCATGATTGTCTTTTGATATCCCACCACCCCTATCAAACAACATCAATATATATATATAATATAATATAATATTATATTATATTATATAAATAATCATATAGCTAGCTCCAATATGCTCCACTAAAAACCTTTCGTTAAATCCCATGGAAAAAATCCAGGATTTCGACCTGAAAAAAAATCCGGTCTTGCTGGCCCCGGCATGGAGGTGACCTTGGAACGAAACGACTTCCGAGAGATGCCATTGAGGGCCTGGTCGCCCAGATCGGTGAAGCGCCACTTAGCCACTTCACATCGGGTTGCTAGAAGATGTTAGAAGCGATCATATGGTGATCATATGGTGATCATATGGTGATCATAGGGTGATCATATGGTGATCATATGGTGATCATATGGTGATATATCACAATATTCACAATTGTAACATGAAGAAATCATAAAATTGATGTGTGATGATAAATGGACCATGGACTCCACAGTTTCTTGGATAATTGTGGGTATGGCTGTCATAGGGGAAACATTTACATCGATGTGGGAAACTCATGGCTGCCCCTTCGGAAAATTGACCCGTTCGGGTACCGCAAGCCCGCCACATCCTTGTCTAGGTGCGACAGGTGAAATTGGTGGGTGAGCTCTACAACTATCGCCTGGTGGATTCTGTGTTGATCTTTGACTCCCTCTACCAGTGCCCCGATTCGCACTTACACAAAGCCAAATATATCCAAATATGCTTGGGAGGAGCGCGTTGGATGAGTTTGATGAGTTTGATGAGTTTGATGCATGGTAGATCAAGCGATGAAGATCGGTGTTCAACTCCCATCTTCCCATCTTTGAGGGGCCATGTCTAAACTACATTTGTCCCTTGACCCCGGCAACAGCGAGGTTCATTGGCTTTGGAGGTCCTAGCTCCTATCGGGCAAGTCAGTTCATCACTGCTTGAGCCCAAAGGGAAATCGATGGAGTTGGTGGAAAATGCCTCGAAACTGTGGAAGACATGTCGATTGTACTAGGAAACATATGGAAACATACCATGTGGAAAGCATACAGTATGGAGTTATGTTATGTAGATGTGTAAAACCAAGTCTTGACTGAAATTGGAGATCTACAAGGGGGGTCAAAAGCATATGGGTTAAAACCCATACTATCCATTATGATACCACATTTGGTAAGATTGGCATTTGCCGATGAACTTACATTAGATTTGCCAGCTACCCCGGGGTAAACCAATATAGATGGGTTTTGAAGAAAATGATCTTTTAAATATCTTTAAATGTCCTATAGAAATTGTTGATTTTCCAAATCTATGTTAGTTTACCCCGAGGTAAAACATGATGTTTATCAGAGTACCCTTTAGAGAAGTCCCGAGGCTCACAAGTTGGTTGAGAGGGTCCGCGCGGACGGGACTTGCACTCGGACGGTTGGCTGATTTGGGTCGAAATGATCAGATGTTTACCCTCTGGTAATTTAACATAGCTATTGAAAATGGCCATTTATAGTGAGTTTTCCCATTAAAAATGGTGATTTTCCATAGTTACGTTAGTTTACCAGAGGGTATTGATGAAAGCTGAAGCGAAACCAGCAGAGGGTGGATAGATGTGTGAGATCTGTTTAGGTGGATTTTTTATTTTTTTTGCATAGCCTTACCGAAACAATGATGGATCTGAAACAACTCATAGGAGTAAACACGGGAAGATCTGTGGAGGGCCTCCGTTCTGAAAAGACGATGGCATTTTCCCCACGGTTCATCCAAGTTCCTTGCAATTTGGTAAACCAACTCTTACCCTCTGGTAAATTAACATAGACCCTGAAAATCACCAATTTTTAGAGGAAACTAGTCTTCCAACCCCTGTCTGCCAGGGTCTATGTTAATTTACTGGAGGGTAAACATCCTAACCCATCCTAACGCTCCATTTTTGGTAAACTGGATTTACAAGACGCGCTTCGTTTTTCAGGTTGACGATGGACCCAGATGGATGGACGAAGAAAAACGGAATGGTAGCCATTGTAGCCACCTAATTTCACATACCCTCTGGTTATGACTAACATAGCCATGGTATAGATGGCCCATAGAAATAGATGGTTTACCTATTATAAATGGTCGATCTTTCCATGGCGAACTGTTAGTCATAACCAGATGGTACTTATTTTGGGCAACCCAACAATGAACATCTCATTGGGGGGATTGTTAAAAAAACATTGGATGGTATAAAGTAAGTACTTGGCTTTATCGCATTAAATCGTATAGTATACTGTACTCATTTGCAGCTACTTTTTTTTTACTGCATGGGTAAATCGCAAGTAAATCCCTATGATTATTGTTGGTTATATCACATTCTTTACCTTACTCTCTGGTAGTTTAACTTCTTTTCTATGGAAAATCAAGACTTTTAAACAGGTACTTCATCTATCAATGGGCCATGTTCCACGGCTGTGTGAAATTACCAGAGGGTAGGCTTGGTTCTACCACCATATTTTCCATGAAATCCTATAGTTTACCACATGAAGTCCACATATTTTAATAGCTGGTTAGATGAAATATGGCAATTTTCCTATTTTTCAATGTTTTTCCCCGAAAAAACAAATCCGTTTCCGGCCAGGGCCTGGCTATGCGCAAGGGTGGCCTTGGAAGCATCACCGAGGAACAGGAGGAGACCGGCCATAGATGCCATCGAAAAATGGTTAAAAACATGGTGAAAAATAGACTATGCAGTATAGAAATCATGGAATCATGGTTTATTTTAGGGAAATCATCCCCAAATGGCCGAACTATTCAGGTTAGTGAAGTATTATAATTTACCCAGATAGCTGGCTATGTCGACTATCGATTTGCTGATTTTTTTTGGTAATTTTCGAGCATGGGAAGAAAAGTGACTTGCGGAATCGAGGCAAAAGCGGGGACTTCACTGGTTTTACCATGACAAAGTAGTGAAAGAACAACACAACTGTACAAACAAATGGGCTTATCCGATGATCCCCAAAAAATGAGGATTCGATTCTCGAACATTTGGATTTGACGAATGAACAATGGAATTGGGGTGTCGGAGAATGGGAAATGATTGATCAATCAATGGATTTTGGGGCACTCTGTTCAGACAAACCCGCGCACCAAACAAGAGCCGTTTTATGTAGGAGTGATTTCCCATAAGGGGATCCAAAAGTATGGTTTAATATGGTTTAATCATATTGGGAGATACTCAGCAATATATGAACATACATGTGCTAATCCTAGCCAAATGAAAACATCACAGGGGTAGTTAATATGATTTCCAATAGGTTGTTGATCCCATTGGCACTGCATGTTGGGCCGCCAGCCAAGGCCTTGTCTGAAAATTGGGACCATGGCCATGCCCCCAAATCGAATGGTTCAGAAAATCACGGACTCCCCGAAAAAAAAAGGGGAGCACACAAGTGACATTTTGTCCCAGAATCCCTTTTTTCAGACATACCCATTTTATCCCATTTGCAGACATGTCACGAGTGAAATCTCCATGTCCAACGGTCAAATCACCATTTTCTAGGGAACACATCAGTTGTTCTTGTTGGTCAAATCACCATTTCTTGGTGAGTTTTTCCAATGCCGATGGGCTTAAATCATGTTACCCTCTGGTCAACTAACAGTTTGCGAACTGGAAAATGGCCATTTATATAATGTATCGCTGATTTACCCATAAAACATGGTGATTTTCCATTGATTTATCCATTAAACTTAAACATTGTGATTTTCCATCGTTTTTTTTTGTGAGTTTACCAGAGACAACACGTCAGAAAATCCCAGGATGCAGAGGACGGTAGCCAACTACCAGAGCTTCTCGCGGACCCACAGCATCCCATCGAGGTGGCAAGTCCTGGGAACCAGCGGTGGTTTTTTCAGCCCCTACATGGATTTCTCCACAGGGCCCTGCATAGTTAGCTAAGCTATGCTAAGTTGGTTTAGAAGTCCAAGAACTAGAGTTTATGAAGGATATAACTTGATATAACTATAGTTAATGGCGATGATTCATAAGCCAACTTATAACGAGGGGCGCCCAACCCTGCAAGGGTTGGTCAATGTCCGATTTTGGAGTTTTTGAACGTCACTTCAAAGGTATCTGTTGGAGATGACATATCACCATTTTTGCTGGGTGACGTGAACAATTAGGACCTTTACCAACCTCTTTTGCCCATAATAGAACTTGACTTGAGATTTCACAGTTGAACGTGGGGGATTTCACCAGTAAACCCTGGAAATTAATTGAAATTACATGTTCGCGATGGTTTACCCTCAGTTGAAAAATGCCAAAAAAGACAAAACATCGCAAGGGTTCGGGCATTTTTTGGGCCCCCATCTTTGATATCAGGAGTGATTTAACAAAACACGCTTACCCTCGGGCCCTCGAGTAAACTAACGAGATGGAAACAATCTATCATTTCTAGATCATTTCCGGATGGGAAACCCATGAATCTACATAGCTATGTTACTTTACTGGAAGGTAAGTTTAAGGGAAAATGCATGGGAAACTACGCCAACAAAAATGCATCAAAATGGCAGTTACTGTACATGAAAATCCGATATTTGGGACTAATGACTAGAAACATGTGAAAACCACGACTTTAATCGTAAAGACATCCTAGAAGTCAATCCAGTGAAATATGGAGCCCCTTTACAAAAAGGCACCATATTCGAGGGCTTCCATGATGTTCTGGTGGCCGCAGGCACCTTGGGACTTCTTCCGAATCAAGCTGGTGACAGAGCTCAGTGGGAGGGGGTGCGAATTGCTTCAAGGCGCCCCAAGATGTGGTCCAGATGAGAATAGTTGGGTAAAACCAACAATAAACCTCCAATGTTGGAGGGTTTATACCGCCCATGGTTTGCCGCCTAAATGGGGGTACACACATCCAAAGATTGCCTAAGATAATTCATTAATTGATCTTGTGACCTTGTGCTAGGTTTTGGGGGGGACAAACGCGAGGGCGCCAGAGAGTTTGACTCAATGCGATGTGATGGGGCTATGACAAAGAAACAATGGGACATGTTGCCAGAGTGATAAAGCAGCAATCTAGAATCTAGGTAAACTGCTAGCAACAGCCTAGGATAGCCTAGGTATTTGCAAGCAAGATGAATCATGTCTTCCACTTGGAGAGTGTTTGTGGCCGTGTCCATCTACGAAACGCTTTGCTGATTCAGACCAAAGGTTGACCATGAAACGGTGAGGGAGAGAGAGCAGATCCAGCTGATCCCACGAATCTGATCCCATAACATGTCCAAGCCAATTTGGAGCATCAACTCAGTACCAAGCCATGGCAAACATCTCCGTTACATCTCCGTTACCCATCCAGCCTTACATTTTATGATTGTCAATCCCATTGTTGTTCTATAATGATCATACTGCCACATATCATACTAACAATCAGCAAATGATAAGAATAGATTATTATCAGTGATTTACATATTATGACCGGCATTGTAGTTAATCAATCTCGTAATAACTATTGTTATTAGCGGGTAGGATCACTGAAAAAAACAACAAACAAACCATGGACCCCATTATGCTTTCGGATTCAATCAGATAAACAGATATAAAAAGCCAATTGTTGTTTTTTCCTTATTATGGTTTTTATTGTTCAATAACTGATTCTATGAGATTCTATCAGGTCCTATCATCGATGGATTGGTTTCAGGGAACATTTACAGAACAAAGACCTCCCAAAAATGATGGTAAAAACTAAAAACCATGGTTTCCGGTGAAGATGTCCCTTAAATCAATGTATTGATATCAAACCCAAAATTTTGATGGTAAAAGCCATTTCCTATAGATTTTCCCTTACAATCCATCCAACCTATGGACGCACCTCGAGGTTTGTGTGCTGCTTGAGACCTGCGGCCATTACTTTGACCGCGGAGCTGCCCGGGATCCCAGGGGCCCGACGATCCCGGAGAAACCACCCACTGGGAGTGGTTACCATTACCACCATGTTATGGTGACTGTTAGTAACCATCACTTAACATCACATTAACCATCATTAATAGATATTAATAGGTTTATGGCAAACCCTGACTTGATCACAAAACAATTGATCAATATTGATCACTTACTGTGACTGGGGATGGTGCAAATGGCATTGTTTTAGCCACAGAAAATCATGATGTGGCTTTTTTTTGGCCATGAACATCAGGATTTTTTCAGAAACATCAACACTGTGTTTGTCAACACCTCTTCGTGATTCACCGGCTTGTTTTTTGGGGTGATGTTCGGCCATTGGTTTGCTACTCAACATTTTTTCACAACTTGGGCTTGGGGGCTTGGGGGCTGTCGGGCTGTTTGTCCTCAGCTCTTGGAAATCCTGCTAAGCGCTGCTCCAAGTCCAAGCAGAAGCTTGACCGCTTCTTGACCTTCTTCATCCGCTACGTTCACAGCAAGGCGGGCCCGCAACGAAAAGGTTGGAGCGTTCGAGAATTGAAAGCATAGAATGAACATAGAACTGGGCCAACCTTGGTTGAGCGGTTTAGTACTTCAATGTTTTGCCATACAAGGGATACTATCAGGCTGAAGATCTATCTTTTAATAGGGGCCCATCTAAGTTTGTCCATATATCATATACCATTGTCATCCATTATCCATTGGTTGGATCCCCATGTTTGTTGGATCCCGTCTCCATGTTTCACAATTGTGATTGAATCACCAGGTTTCACCATGATTGAAAAAACGCCTCCATGGCTAACACCATGGTTTCACCAGCTTCTCACCATGGTTTTTTGCTATCGATTGCCAGGGAGAGCTGCCACAGCGCTTCATGAACATGGTCTACGATACCCTCGAGAGGCTGAGGCGCGCAGCGCGGCGCGCAGCGGAGTCCTACACTGCACCCAGTTAAGTTGGGGGGTCCATGATTAGTATTGCTACTGCGCAGCTAGAATCTATATATATATATATCATATATAACTATATAAAAAAATATATAAATATACATACACATATATGTTTATATGCATGTATAATTATGTATATAATAATCTTCAAAATATGTGCATACGTTAAATATGTTTATTATCAACAAAAACACTGGGATTCAACCAACCTCCGCGGGGTCAAACTGACCACTTGAATGATGGATTGGCAGTATACCCTGATCGTAAACATGGCTAAGATTCTGATAAACCCCAAAGATAGATAAACCATGATTAACATAGATGTATAGATATATAGATATATAGATATACAGATAGATAGATATTTATATATATATATATACATAGATATATAGATATATAGATATTCTCCATGATAAAACCCCACCATATATAAAGTTGATAGACTCCAATCATAGACGCTTCTCCCACAGCATCCTACTGGTGGTTACGATTCACCCTATCCTTCTGCGAGGCCCCGCCTCACCTATCCCACGCTCAAGTCGGATGCTTCCGAGGCAAGGGTGCAAAGTGGCCAAAAAAGTTACTGTAAGTGGTGGGGAGACTTGACATGCTCAATAGATCCCAATAGGACTCAATTTTGCATGTCATTGGTGTTTTGATGTGTTTTGTTCGTATCTTTCTAAGTGGTAGAGTATGATGTCCATTTTTGGATATTATATATATATATATATATATTCGATTTTGAAAATTAAAAAAAACTCATGGACCAGACACATTTTTAATCCACTATCAAGCCCTTGATCTTCCACCCTTTTTCAAAGATCAGGAGTTCGGACCTGTGGCAGGCAGTCTTGAAGCTGCTGGACAGGGAGAAAGATGACCTGGACGTGGGAGGTGCGAGCTTTTGTGAATCTCCAGGTGTCGGTGTCCGTTACGATCAAGAAAAAGGTAGCCGCTAGGACGGTAAAGGTTTACCGTAAGTAGATTGACATAGATGTGGATGGAACCAATGATTTACAGATGTCACAGATTTTAGCTGTGGATTTACAGATTTCTACATTGACATTAGTCTATCTAGATGTGGATTTACACATTTTACAGCCACCATGTAGGTCATAATTTCTGGCTTTAAAAACCGATTTCCCCATGGTTTTTGACTCCACAGGGAATCAGACGGCGTTGTGTTTCTCGATCCCTGTGAGGTGACAAGGCGGATGAAAGAGATGACGATGACGATGAGGCCTTCCCGTTTTTCAAAACAGTGGTTGTGGAAAATCATATATGAGTTTGCGGAAAGAACAAAAAAAAGAACGACTACATTGACTACATCTATATCTTATATATCAATATATATTATATATCAATTATATTATAGAGACATATAGAGACCATAGTAATTTGTTCCTTAAAAAGACAGTGAACTCCACGCGGACCCTCAGCGCATTTTTTGTGAAATTCATCGGCCTAGGCGGAAGACGAGAGCACGGAGGAAGACGACTCCGGCTCAGACGCTTGGAGCTGGAGCTGGATCTGCCCATGTTTATCTCACTTTTGATGGATGATATGGATGTGTCATGGGTTTTAATGGGTGTTTCACGGGTCTCTAGTGGTGATTGATGGTGATTAATGGTGATTCATGAGCTTTTAAATGGGTCTTGATAGACTTTCAATGGTGATTCATGAGGATTTCAATCGGTTTTCATGGCTTTTGATTGGTTTTTTGATCATGAAATATAATGAATAGTATGGGGAGATAATACACACAATGTACATATATATATATGTAGATATGTGTGTGGGGATAATGATGGATAAATGATTGATAAAGGATGGTAAGTTGATGATGAGTACTATCCAGTGATTAGGAAGGATAAGGAGCTACGACTTGAGTTTCCCAACCACATGATAGTTACCCTCTGGGAATTTAGCACTTTGCGAATAGGAAAATCGATGAACATTGCCGTTGCCCATTCATAGTTGATTTACCTCCTAAAATGTTGATGTTCCATTGCTATGTGAATTAACAAGGGGTAAATGGATAAAACATAGGACATTTTATCAAGACATGTTGGGATATCATTGGGGTTTGAAGGGGGCATAACATGATGCAACCATCAGTGGGATTATGTTTCGTGTTTGATGGGGGCAATGGATGAAAATGGTGATGAATCATCAGTGATCTCAAAGGAAACCCACGAAAATCCTGAAGCCATCAATGGTTTAACCGTTTAACCCATCACCAGTGGGGCTTTAATCCATGAATTTACGTAGAAATGGGGATTGACAATTGCTACAATACAAATCAACCCTGGTAATTGTCAAATTACACATTTGCACAATAATAACAACACTAGCACAATAACCATAATAAAAATGATATGTTGCAATTTCGGATGTATATGATACATATAAATAAACATTGGCATACTGAATATTATGGTATCTGATATTGCTTCGATATGTTTGTCCATGCCTGCTCCAAACAAAGTGGTACATGATGAACGTTGATAAACAGCTACTGATCCATGTTTTTTTTCTTAAAAAAAATTGGTTATTTGCATCTATTTGCAAGCATTCAATCTTCACATCTCTTCACTGTATTTATAATCTATTTTTTTGGATACACATATTGGAATAATGTTTGAACATATATGATTTAACATAGCATTATAATTTCTTGTTAAACATATAAGTCAAAATATGTGGATAGCATATGGTATACCAAGTATACGATGAATATGACTGTCATTCCATTAAAATTTAGATCCCATGGATCCAAATACTTTCGAAGCTACAACCTGAATCATACCCCAACTGCTGAGGACGAGGAGTCCTCCGAAGAGGCCGTGGTGGCTCATCCCAGTAAGTGGTTTATCATCCATATATATAATACTTATATATATATATATATTCCCGCCGGTAAATTAACATAGACCCTATGGTAAAAATATACCATCTGGTTTTAAAAATTGGCGATTCTCAGGGTCTATGTTAATTTACTGGAGGGTATTAATATAAATAAGCCCTATAATTCCATAATATTCCATATATGATAGTGGATATTATCCATTCATCTACTGTAACTGTTTTTTTTTTCTGACCCATTTACCTACCGTGGTGCCCGCACCCCAATGTAGGTTGAGATGGGGAGTTATAGCATGTTATAGCTGATTTATTGGGTGTTTTATCGAAACCCATAGTAGGGAAACCATGGGAAACCTATCAACCAATTAGTTTTTTTTTCAGATGGGATAGGGGTATTTTTCATGGCTCATCTTGTCATGGTCGGTGGGTGCCTGAAAAAAAAGTCTATCCAGTCTCTATAGCCAGTTCTGTTTGAAAGTCTACCCTGCCTGGGATGATAATCAACATGAACCATGATATTTTTCCAGGGAGTTGAAATGAACAACATGATTTTTTCCCCACCTGCCAGGTGAGGGTTGTTAGATTTTATGTCAGTTGCCTCCTCCTCCTCCTCCTCCTGCTCCTCCTCCTCCGCCTCCTCCTGCCTCGTCCTCCTCTCCTCCCCCTCCTCGTCCTCCTTGTCATCCTTGTCGTCCTTGTCGTCCTCGTCGTCCTCGTCGTCCTCGTCGTCCTTGCTCAACTGCGACCCGCGATCCACAGTGTTCTCTGCCGGACCTCAACCACGACCACCCACGCCCAGTGTTCCCTGCCGGACCTCAACCACGACCATCCACGCCCAGTGTTCCCTGCCGGACCTCACTCACGACCATCCACGCCCAGTGTTCCCTGCCGGACCTCAACCACGACCATCCACGCCCAGTGTTCCCTGCCGGACCTCAACCGCGAGTATCCCCGCCCAGTGTTCCCTGCCGGACCTCAACCGCGACCATCCACGCCCAGTGTTCCTGCCGGACCTCAACCGCGAGTATCCACGCCAAAAGATATGCCACATAGAGTGCCAGAAGATATGCCAGATAGAATGTTAGAAGATATGCCAGATAGAATGCCAGAAGGTATGCCAGATAGAATGCCAGATAGAATGTCAGCTAGAATGCCAGAAGATATGCCAGATAAAGTGCCAGAATGTTTGCCAGATAGAATGCCAGCAGATTTGCCAGATAATATGCCAGAAGATATGCTAGATAGAATGCCAGATGGAATGCAAGAAGATTTGCCAGATAATATGCCAGAAGATATGCCAGATAGAATGCCAGATGAAATGCCAGAAGATATGCCAGAACATATGCCAGAAGATATGCCAGAAGATATGCCAGAACATCTGCCAGAAGATATGCCAGAACATCTGCCAGAAGATATGCCAGAACATCTGCCAGAAGATATGCCAGATAGAATGCCAGATCGAATGCCAGAAAATATGTCAGATAGAATGCCAGAAGATTTGCCAGTAACAAAATGTATAAATGTCATGGTGGGGATCACACGAAGTAAAGTAATTTAAATGATTGTTGGATTGGTGGATATTGTAATTGTTATCCCATCTCCTAGATAATAGCACCATGATACACACGCACATACACACACACATATATATATATACATACATACATTATATAATACATACATAATATAAATATTATATATATATATGTACATGCTAACTATATATATATATACATAAAAACACATGTGTTTCCACCATGAACGGGTTTTCAATTCATTTGACCCGTGATTCTGTTTCGGATGTTTCGTTTTTTGAGGGGACAGAGACGATGCGTCCATTTATCCTCATGGATCCCCATGGTACCGTGGAACACATGACAGGAATCGGAAGAAGAAGACGCCAGTGAATCAGATGATGATGAAGATGCGCATTTGCCTCAGAACCACTTAGTTTTACCATTTCATTACAAGATGGGAATGATGAATGGGAATAGTATGATGAATATAGAAAAATATGGGAATATGGTGCCATGTACAGGGGCCCCAGAGATCACAAAAAATCGAAGTAAGAAGCCTTGCCAGCCATTTCAACTTGGATTGTAAGACTCGGGGCATAGTATGCCACTAGGTTTGTGTGTTGAAATAGTCATTGGATTGGTTAAAGATGGTTAAAAATTGCAGAAACAATGTTTTTTTTTTCATGTGTTTTCCCAGTAAATATTGAGGTTTCCATAGGTTTCCCGTGAATTTTCCCATGATCCAAGTTTTGGAAGCCGAGGTACGATCGCGGAGACGAAGTGCAGAAGCCGGGGACGCCCAAGGGACGCAAAAGGGGACAGGAGCGTGGTCAAATCCCCGAAGTCAATGGAGGATTTGATACGATACCCTCTGGTAATGACTAACGTAGGTATTTTCAATGGCCATGACTCAGGAACCGATTGATTGGAGGTACCTACCATATATAAGGCCTATTTTTCAGGCCTATGTAAGGGAATATCCCCATAAAATATGGTCTTATATGGTACAGTACCTCCATTTTAGGATCCTGAATTTCCCATTGATATTTTAAATGGCTCATCTAGTTCGTTGATTTACCTCTTTTTGCAGATGGTGATTTTCCACAGCAAACTGTCATTTTACCAGAGGCCAATCAACTATAAACGGAGGATTCAACTACATTCTCCGTAGACGAAGATGGCATGCCAGGTAATGTCAACCCTGGATCAATAAACCCCAAACGGCTGTTTAATTGGGGGGGTACCATTTAAGTATCAGATTGTCACTCTTTGGGGGAATACCCCCCTAATTCATAAACCATATAGTGGATGTTTCTGGCTGCCTGGTGATTAAGTCTGGGAGCTAAGGTGGTAATCCCCGAAGGCACCATTTGGTCAGAAATCAAGGCTTGTGTTATCTCGTGTTTGGTTATTGAGTATGAAGCCATATGTTTCAATTTCTATTCTTTGCATTAACTTGTGCTACCCACACACATATATGTATATATATATATAAGTTCCTGGGAACCCCAAACTATACCCACACTTTTATTCCTATCAATCATTCTCCACCAGCCAGTTTGTGTTTTTCTTGTTCTTGGAGGGGGGGTGCTTCAACGGATACCCTCCTGTGATTGAACAGTTTGCGAACTGGATAATCGACCATTTAGTGAGAAAATATTTACATACAAAATGATGTTTACCATAGCTATGTGAGATTCCTGGAGGATGACATAATAAAGATGAGCATTATATATGAATGTATCAAGGATATACCCTCTGGTAATTTAACATAGCTATTGAAAATTGCCATTTATATTCGATTTACCCATTGAACATGGTGATGTTCCATAGTTATGTAAACGTTTACCAGAGGGTAAAACCAGCAATACAAAGCCATAGGTTGTGCAATTCCACCAGATCCAGAGATCCCCAGGCATGCTGCGGAGGATGATTTCGATAAGGAGGCAACGGTTGAACGCTTCAAAGTTGATGCAAATTTGGGGATTTTTTCATCACTTTGACCATAAAATTTAGTGTGATTTGAGAGCATCAGAAATGGTAATTTAAGCACAGAAAATGCTGATTTGACGATCAACCATGAGGAATTTTCACCAACAAGAATGATGAACAAGTAGGATTCCCCCCAACAAAAGATTTTAAAAAAGCCGTGGATTGCCATGTTATTTAAGTAGCTATACCCTTGGCAATCAAGCATGGCGATGGATAATGGGGTACCCAAACATGTTCATATGGCCAACAAATATTGGAGAGATAGCTGAGATAAAGGAAGAAACTAGATCATAAACCTGGATTTTACATGATTTTACCATGTCCTTTACCGTGCTTTACCACCTTATCCCCCTTTCAATCTCATCCCAAGTCACATGGGTCAGGTGCAGCAGATTCTCATCGAGTCCCTCGAGAAGGAGAGGAATGCTCCGCGGATGACTTTGCCAGGGCCCTGATCCTGGAAGGTGAGGCGCTTGATTTAGCCCATGAGTTAACGATTCTATAGATATATCTATTATATTTATTATTATCTATTAAAGATTATTAAAGCCCATGAGTGAACATTAACTATAGAGACATATAGAGACATATAGAGACATATAGTGACTATGGAGTTATGGAGGCTATAGATATATCTGCATGAGCCATAGTTCTTGGCTTTATACAGCAACTGAACCAGCCCTTGGGGGCGATGCCAACGTAGCTATGCTCAGGGCGGAACTTCCTCAACCGCTCCAAATCGCCAAGAAAACCGAGCAGATGGGGGACAGCCCAGCCCGGGGGGGAACGATTCCTGGGGGGGGTTGCCATGTGGGTCAAATGGCTCCCCATTCCAACAACCAGTTCCGAAGTGGGATGATCCTGTGAGCTCGCGGGAGTGCAGGACTATGCAGGACTTCAGTTAAATCGACTCTTTCAGATATTACCAACCGTGATATAGATGTCAGAAGCACCTTTTTATTATTTACCCTCTGGTTATTTAACATAGCCATGGAAAATGGCCCATTTATAGATGGTTTACCTGGGTTTACCTATTAAAACTGGTGATTGTCCATGGCTATGTTAAATAAGCAGAGGGTAAATATAGTTGCCTCCAGCTTCTACTACTCAACACTTCGAGAGTCATTGCCCTTGGCAACTGGTGAATAATTTTGGCCCACGGGCGCCATTTCCTGAGGTATCCCATGTATAACTGGGTGCACTAATAACCCCACAGACACTAAGCAGTGACCGAGTGGGGTTTGCATACCTGCTTCAGGTATCCCAGAATTGGTTTCAGGGACTTTTTTTTGGGAACACCCCATGATTTGGGTCTTGAATCCATGGAAAGCATATTATGGAGGTTTTACCAAAAAATATGGGGCCCCTAAATCATCCATTTTACTAGGATGTTCCATCATAAACCATCCATTTGGGGGTACCCCATGATACCCCCATTTATGGAACCTCCCCCATATTTTCCCCTAAGCCGATCCATTGATGCTACCACCTGGAAACACAGCACCTGGCAGCTGTCGCCCGCAGGACATGGCCATGGGCCAGTTCAACCTTTTGCAGAAGCCCGGCTCTCAGCAACGAAAGCTGATGAAGAAACTCATCACCTGGCAGGTTTCAAACGAAAGAAATTCTGATGGATTATCCTCGGGGATGATTGATCCCGAAAAAAAAACATCCTATGGGCTAAACACCAGGGATGATGGATTGACATGTTTTTCTTCATCCGTTGAGATGTTTTTCATGTTGCGATCACCCCACCTGGGATGATGATCGATGATCCCCAATGATTTGAGAATGACAACCAGTGACCATATTTTTTATTATTTTTTCAGGGCTGGAACCACCAAGTAGAATTGGCTGTTACCAAGTATATAGTTTTAACATACAGGGGGCTGAAGCAATAGTTCAATCGACTCAATGAGCTGGAGGCTACGCTCGATTCAGTCAAGTCGGATGGTTTTAACCGGTGCACGGCGCGGCGACGCCAGGAAGACGGGTGGCAAGATACAGATGAAGCAATTGAGCATCCCCGATGACTCCAAGCTACTTCAGGTGCGAGTGCCGCTGAGCACAAGAGCCGGTCATCATTTCGGTGGCTGCTGAAAATCCCCGAAGATTTAGAGGCTTCAAAGTCTTTAAAGATCTATAGTTAGTGTTGGTACTATACTTAACTAACGTTGGTTGCAATAGATTTCAGCGATTTTTTTCCTGTCATGTTTCTATATAAAATGGTCCCCTATATGTGATATTTCCCATCCACCTCGGGGGATGATGGTCCCAATTGACTACAGCAACGGTGTTTGACTTGGGTGCGCTTTAGGAAACGCGTGTTCATACAACATGGGTGTGTCTGAAAATGGGATGTACATCCAAATGGTTACTTTCGTGGATAAAAAATGGTGATCGGAGGGCCGGTATGGTCTAGTGGATAAGACGCATCCCTCATGCGTCAGACCCGGGCTCAATACCCGGGTGCAACACTAGGCGGACAGGCGGGCCACTACCCCACCCCTGCAGTTAAGGGGATGAGCTAGGGTGTGGTCCGTAAAAACAGTAAAAAAAAATGGTGATCGACTGATAAACACCATCACGTTCTTTGGTAATTACCCTGTTTTCATACAAACCCGTGTTGAGAAATATGGTTTTCATACAGTTCTTTTGCATCCTTTTGGACATGGGTCCGGACTTTGCAGCATGTCCTGGATTTGCTTTAAGCTGCTTAAGATATCTTAAGATGACCTTTGGATACCTTTGGCGTTTTTATAATGTGGGGAATCTATTCTATGTTGTTGTTTTTTTTGGTGGGGAGCCCAGGCGCAATCCCCAAGCCTTTCCAAGAAAGGCGCCGTTTTCCAGGCCAGGAAAATCGACGTGGAAGAAGCGTCCAAAGAAAAGGAGGACCTGAAGAGGCAGCAATTGGACGTGATTGGACGATTGGACCATGAGATGGTCTCAATTTGGACATATTTGGACTTTGCAACATTTTGCAGGTTCACAGAAAAATGATGGGGGTTACACATGGTTAATATAAGTTCTACGATGTAGAATGCAATTATTCAAGGTGGTGCCCCCCAGTTATAAGTTGGTTTATAAGCCCATTAACTATAGATATATCACCTATAAACCATAGTTATTGGAGTTATAAACCAACTTAGCTATCTTGGGGGCACCACCTTGTTCGGATTATCGTCATCGTCACTGGGAAACCCAACCGTTCTGGCGATTTGGCAGGTTTGTGATGCAGTACGAAGAGACGGGAGCAGGCGATGGCTAAAAAACTTGGGCAATTTGAGACCTCCACATGTAGATTCAATTGTTTAGATCCCAAAAAACAGCAAAGAGCCTGTGGCTTATCTTGGCAAATCCATGGAAATTCCAATTTTTTTGTCACTTTCGTGGCCTCGAATGGCGCTTGGTCTTGAAGATTTGTGTTACAAGATTCGCCAAATCATTTCTGTTACTGCTGTAACACATTGGATGGCATATCAATCTGTACATGTTTTTTTTTTTCTAAATTCTTGTGTATGCACATATATATATATATAATATAATATATATATATGTGTGTGTGTACGTATATATGCCCTCCTGTAAGTCAACATAGACCCTGAAGACAAGTGAGAATAGCCAATTTTTAGTTGAACATAATCTTCCAACCCCCAAAAATACCAGAGGGTCATATATATATATATATATTTATTATATATTATATATATTATAGTATATGATACATCATGGTGGCTTTGTTCGAACCACGTGACGTCTGCCTTCGCCCCCTGAGGCGATTCTTCAGGATCTGTCATACCACTGGCTGCAAGCGAGCTCAGAAATCCTGGAGGGCGATGGGATGTGTGTCCCGGGTCAGAACCATTTTGGAAACCAGTTACATAAATAATATATGCAGTATGCATGACATATAATACTCCATTATATTATTATATCATATAATAATATCATATTATTTTATATTAATTATATTATCTTCTATATATCATATATAATCATATATATATATATTGGATATTCCTTAGAAATGTATATGTATAGGTTATTCACCACTTACCAACTGGGCCCTGGGCAGCTCCCAGCGGCATGGGTGATTCAACGGTGCCGGCCGCCCATTGTTCTGGATGTCCTTTTCGGGCGGAAGAGGAAGTCCCCTAACAAGCCATGGAGGTTCTGCCTATAAATCATAGGATTACTCTATAAATCATAGGATTACTCTATTTTCTCCCTATAATCCATAGGTCTGTAAATCCAACATGGAGGCTGGGTCGCCTATAAATTGTTGCACTCTACTGCCATGTTGGGTTACCAGAGGGTATTTGCCGTACTATTGGGAGGTCACACTAGAAGTTGGAACAAGATCATCGGTTTGTTTGCGGCTTGCTGTGCCCTAGTACAGATGATGTCGCCTGTGATGCCTGGTGAATCTGGCTCAAAGTGGGCGCATAAGCACTGTCGGATTGTTACACAATGTTGTGCAGCTACAAGTACATCGATCAGATCCCCTCCAGGGAAGGAATGGTTGATCTCCCCAACCAGCAAGATAAGAGAGCCGCTAAAAATGCAAAAATGGTCCTTTACCCACCAAAAATCCACCCAAAAATGCCAATGGGAAAACACATCAAACCTCGGGTCGGTTGGATCGTTGTGCCCCAGGTGGCCGTAGTCGCAGCCCATGACCCATGGGCCAATGTTCCTCCGAGAACAGCTGTTCAGAGGATCTGTGCCGTCGAAGTGCCTTGGCCACCGCAGTTGGGATATCCAGGTGGCCATGGCCACGGCTCATTGCTGATGAGATTTGTCCATTGGAATCCATTCATCCGGGATCATGAATATGTATCTATTATTTGGTGATTGCTGATGATCCTGATCAGTTGGTTCATTCAATCTCATTCATAAATATTCATAAATCCTATTCATCCGGAAGCTAAATCCTCATTCATTGGTTCCTTGCTGGTCCCTGGATCATCCTGGAGCATCCCAAGGTCGGCCCCCGGCACCCTTGGCCAAGCACGATGATTCAGCGCTCGCTGGAGAGGAGACGGAGCCGCTGTGATTTCACAAGGGGGAAGCAACAAGAAATATGGTGAAAAAATGGCGGTTTAACAGTTTAACCCTCAACAATATAATTGGGGATTTAAGTTGATTTAAGTTGATTTAAGCATTGAAGAATGGACTTTACCCAGTGATGTAACTGGTGGTTTATGTTGCTCCGGTAAAAAAATAGTTTGTTATTATGATCTACGAACCCATTATTGGAGTTGTCTTTACCAACTTAACGTGAACCCAAACTGGGCACCACCTAAAATTGGCTTTGCTGGGTCACGGCTCATCCGACCTGGGTGTAATTGTTCAGGAATATCATGCCATGCCATCTAAATATATTCCATTGGATTGAGTAAAGGGGACATAACATCTCCTGGAAACCATGAAATTCACCATCTACGAGAGTCCCCTCTGTGTGCTTCCCACTCTTGCTCAAAGATGGGAGCATGTTCCGTCAGTTTCCGTGAGTTTCCTCTTATTTTTTCACACTTATCCTCAAATAATATCGTTTTTTTTTTTTTTCCAAAACCATGCTTCAATCCATTTTTGCATAAGTGATAGACCATGTCATCTTCAAAACAATGCTGCAACCATGAGTTTTCCATGAGTTTTACCCTTTGGCAATGATTCTTATACAGTATAGATCAGTAATGATCAGTATAGTATGTTATAGTTGTATACCATTTATCTTCCATTACCCATAGGATCCATGTATGCTATATATGGTAACATTTACCATCAATATACCCCAAATGTTAGCATATATACCATGCATGGATCCTATGGGTTATAATCCATTAAATCCCATTAATCCATGGCAGTTTCTAGGCCATTTCCTGGGACCTGCTACGTCGCTACGTGGCCTGCTACGTGGCAGGAGTCGACTCCATCTCCAGCAGCCGAGTTGCCCAGTGAGCTCGCTGGTGCGGTGGCGAAAGCGGTGGAAGCGTCGCAGGTTGGGCTGGGGATGGGACGGTTTCACCGAGAAAAATGGTGATTTTTAAGATGGCTTAACCATGCTTAAGCAAAGTTTACCTAGAACTCTATAGAAATCTAGGAATTTGTAGTTCATTTGTAGTGTTTGGTAGTTGGATTTACCCTTCGGGAGTCAAACATGCGAATTGACATCCCCGAACTCCATGGAGGTTTCGTTCGCTGGGAAACTCCTCTATAAAAAATCGGGGTTTTCCGGCCAGCCATGTTTGACTAGAGGAGGGGAAGCATATTTCATGAAATCTAGGGACTTTCAGCTCCAGCTACACAGCAGTTTCAAGGTGGCGCCCCATCTGGAATGATGGGACTGGGACTGGGGTAGCTACCTTAGGCGAACTTAGCTTGGTGAATTGCTATTAGCATAGGAATGTATAAGATAGATAGCTAAGTTACGTTGTTAAACGTTTAACTTCACTAGGTAAACCAATGGTAGATCAACGAGCAAATTCAACCAAGAAACATAGGAACCGCACCACCTACGCTTCCAAGTTGGAAAGGATGATCGGGTGGGCAAAATTCGAGGACCCGATGCCCAAGAAAATGTGTCATCATTGGACTGTACTAAACAATTCAATCTAAGGATCCTCAACATCTTGGCCCAGAACGGAGTCTCAAAATCACACGCCTCAAGAGTCTCAACAACTGATATGTTTGCCAGACAGTCAAGCTTGGTCCTTTGGATCTCCGTTGGGACCTGCCAGGCAGAGAGAAGTCTGGCAACCCTCAGCGTTCCAAAGTGTACCTGGGCACCATGAAGAGCAGTGGATGACAGAAGATGTTGCATATGGCATGTATCGGTGATGTGCATTGTCTTTGCTCAGGAAATGCATGTTTCTCAGTACCTTTTTAAAAATATAGATAGAAAGATGGATGGATAGATGGACGGATAGATGGATCCTGGATAGATAGACAGACTGACTGACTGACAGACTGACTGACAGACTGACAGACAGACAGACAGACAGACTGACTAGATAGTGTGCATATGCACACACTAGTAGACACCAGCATTGGAAGCGGGCATTATCTCCATGTTGCTGCGGCATGTTGGAGTCAAAGGCTCAGAGAAGCAGATGCCGGTTTGCTGTTCCTGTCCGGGAACTGGATGTGACACATAGCATTTTGCCGAGGCAAGAGCAAAGGCGTGCAAACGGAACCAGTTACACCAGAGACTGAGGCCGGTCATTATCTGGGAATTCTTGTGGGTAAAACTGATAAACTGTGCCTTTCTAGCTGAGAATTTAGGCATACTTAACATGTGTCAATGGCAATCTCAGGACCCTAAAATGAAGGTACTGGACCATATCAGGCCATATTTTCTGGAGATATTCCCTTGCATAGGCCTTTTGTTTATGTTAGGTACCTCTAATTCACGAGTGAGAGATTGTCATGCGAGCAGGGTCGATGAATCCCACTGCTCCACACAATTTTGCAGACACATTACATATAGCAAACATCTATAAACGAATACTGAACCATTTCTTAAACTATCTATCTATCTACCTATCTATCTATGTATCTATATATATATATTTATTTGTATATATATATATATTATATTCCAATATAACAAATAATAGTTTGTATATATGTTTGTATATATATACACACTGTATATTTATACACACTATATATATATATAGAGTAGTATGTTACTATGAATCATGGATCATAAAATTGTTTGTATACATACTATGTCATGTATATTGACATTATGACTATTATCATTATTTTCCATTTCTTATAAATGACTGTTATTACCATTCTTTATTTATTTTTTGATATTATTGTTGTTATGTTTACTGTCATGACGCTGATTATTATTATTTCCCTTTATTGTTATGATGTTTGTTATTAATATATTAATATCATTATTACTATTTGTATCATGATGGTGATTATCATTATTATTGTCCATAATCATCATCTCATCATAATAATCATGATAATAACAACAGAAATGATAATAACAATAGTAACAATGACATCGGTATTATCGACAATAAAGGGGCATGTTATTTCTACCCTCTGGTTATTAAAAACATAGCCATGGTATAGATGGCCCATAGAAATAGATGATTTACCTATTACAAATGGTGATTTTCCATGGCTACAAGGTGGTGCCCCCCAGTTATAAGTTGGTTTATAAACCCCACTAATCTACCATAAACCATAGTTATTGGAGTTATAAACCAACTTAGCTAACTATGGGGCACCACCTTGTATTGTTTTTATCATGATCATTGACTGGGCAGGTGCTACCTGAGACCTTCTTCGTCCCAGATGGAGAGCCATGGGAGCTGGCTCCCTCTACAGAAGGCGCCAGACCTTCCGCCAGACACGAAGCCACGAGTCGCGGTGAAATCACCCAGAAAGAAATGGCGCAGAAAATAGAGATGTTACCCATAAAAATGCTGCTTTAACCCTTGAGAATTGGGATTTAATAATTGAAAAATGTTGATTTAACCCTTGAACATTTGGATTTGACAGGTTTGACCCAGATGTATGGTGGTTTTAACCCACAAGCATGGAGAGTCGATGAGAAAATGAGAAAAGAAGATGATTTCATGATGATTTATCCAATGATTTATCCAATGAATAGTTGACATGAGTTCATGGACAAATGAGGTACCTCTGGTAAACTAACATAGCTATTGAAAATCACCATTTTTAATGGGAAAATCCACTATAAATCACCATTTTCTATAGCTATGTTAAATTACCAGAGGGTATACCCGAAAATTGCCGGCTTTTCATGGGCTGAAGCA